TGTGTGTGTGTGTGTGTGTGTGTGTGTGTGTGTTTGTAATTTATTGTAACATAGGTATTAAGATGAAAAAATGATGTGGAAAAATGAAACTGATTTTATTTAGTACATAAAACAAAAGATAATCAATATTCTGCGACCTTCCCCTAATACTATATTTTAACGAATTTTTACGAAGTTCATTGTATGATATTAGTGTGGTGAAATTATGATACTCGATTGTCTATCAAATGAGGCCGTTATGCTCAGTCTGATAATTCTCCTATCTGATTTAATAATAAGATGTATTGCGATACTTATTTCATAAACAACTATTACAAAATTCGGAATTTCTGCAAACATGTACAAACAAGGTTTGATAAAATTTACTTTTTAAGATATGTTTGCAGCAAATTTTAGAAAATATCGCCGAGAAAGAAGACCCGTATAGGGATCTCACGTCCTAACAAGCGCCAACACTCTCTCCAGGCTCAACCTCCTGCGACGACTGGGTTGCGTTGTAAATAAGAGTATAAATTGTACTCTGATTGTTGATGAGATCTCATGTAATGCATCATGTATTAATCTCTACTTCGCACAGTGGTTGATTTCCTTCCTCTAGCGGTATTAAAATATTATCAAGAGAACGGTAAAGCCGAAGGCGTTAAAATGTCAGGAATTATTATCTGTCCATCTGTACATTCATTTTGTAATGTCGAGAACGAAATATACATATAAATTCATTGCCCTTGAGTCTTGCCGATACAGGATATGCCAGGTTATCAATGTTGTAAGTTCTAATGAGATACTCAATGCAATTGCATTAACTCATCCTTAAAGGTTCAATGATACACTAACTCAAAATGAAATATTCTATATCTAAATTCATACCTAACAGTGCAAGCATAAAAAATATAAAAATGTAATAACAAATAAAAGTTACGATATAGCTAAACACCTCTGAATCTTCTATTCACCTTCACGATGACAATCACCCAGGAACTACACAACTTTAAACTTCCTCGGGTTGCTGAACTTCCCAGTTGATATACCGATGCTTGTTATATACAGAGTCAAAGAAATCAATAGAAATGAAGCATATCTTCATTGCCACGTACCTAATGTATCATTTTGTAGTACAACTTTCTCGACGTACTTGAAGTCTTTGGTCGAGCTTCCTGACTGTCTCCGGACATTTTTTTTTCTCATTGGACAATCATTTCATTCATGATAATCAGCGTCATGAATTCGAGATAAACGGTTATGTTTCAAATGCCGTTTTTCTGAAGCTTCCTCTAGTCCACATCACACCCCCTCCTCACTCCTTGTAAAACAACAGAGAAGCGCTGGCGAACGAACTTCCATCTATCCCCAGTGATGTTTAGGATACTGCTCTAGATTTTGAAACAACTGCAAAACAGTGTACATCGATTCATGTACCACTTCCTTGTCTTGGATGCACATAATAGTTCCATTTTCTTTCGATATTTGAGAAGTATTTAGTGTTTCCTGGATCTTACAGTATCTTTTCTTCAATCCATGAACCGCCATATTTATAAAATATAGTCCTGTAACACATGTGAGAAGGGTCTCGAAGAAACAATCTTTACCGTGAAAGACCAACATAAAAACTTCATTGCCGAAGGTTTTTTAAAAATGTTAATTTATTCATTTACTATGAATATTGTGCTCGATAAATAAGAATTTCTGGGGGAGGGCTGCTTAATAACGCAGGTGAATTACACTTTTTCCCCCCTCATTATATTTTCAATAATTTGTGATATTACATAGATATTTGCACGCCCCAATTTATTCAATTTTGTTGCTTGAAGCTTCTTAATGTTTTTCTTCTAAACCGAGCTACTTCTGCATTGTGCCTAGGTTTGTCACCTCAATAAATTCGAATGTTAAGGGACTAAATCCCGCTGTACTTTTCACCTTTTTTTCTCTTCAAACATGAAAGATAATTCTTCTGCGTTCTACCTTTCGTCGTTTTCGGCGCTTCTTCGTAGCACACAAACATTTCGTCGCCCAATAATGCTGGAGGTCTTACCGCGAATCTGTCTACCATTCTGTTATATGCCTTCCATTTGTCAGCAATTTGGCATGTGAATCTCCGTGTCTTCTCACTTAATACTGCCTCTAGAATACTTCCAAGAACATTACGAGAAACATACTGCATTAGCATTTTTCTATTCCATAAATATGTGGCATAAGAGAGTTCACCCTCACGCAAGAGCTCGAATAGCTCCCGCTGACTGACTGAAACAATCTGAAAAAAATCATTTTTTTTTCGGAAAGGGGCAAATTCGGGCAAAAATGGTTTTCACCATTTTGTTTCAGAAGGTTTAGATAATACAATCGTGCAAAGATCATTCTTGGCAATTGCTGGCAACTCAAGATAACTCGGTTTGAATTTCCGATCACTAAGAAACTTGTATCAAATATATGGTGATACTTTATCATATAAAATACAACCAAAAATTTAAAATTTTCAATTAAACGTTAGTGCATTTTAAAGAATATACCTTCTAGATTCTCGTCCATATCAAACAACGAAGTTATCATTAACAATTCAGTGGCAGTGGGCAATAACACCAAGCGCGTCAAAGCAGGACTTAGGCACGGCTGCGCTTGCGGCTCGGAAGAGCTCGCTGAACATACCCCCCATTCTTCTGAGAAATGAATGTTTCACTTATGGGGACTGGTACAGTCCTGGCAGGACTATTAGGAACCCGCCCACGTAGGTTTTCATTCGTTTCGAGCATATTCGCTGCATTCCGCTGGATTCTGGAAATCAACCACTGTGGGTCGTCCATGTTCGACGTATGAAGGATTTATCTATATTTAATGGGTTTATTGGGGTTTATTTGTTAACTATGTTTACCATGTAATCTTCAAAAAATGATTTATTTGTGAAGCTAACAGTATTACAAAAGAATATTGCGAAAGCGAATAGAAAAATTTTGTCTCAATAAGGGCTACAACAGTTTGCTTTCTTTAATATTGAATTTCAATTTTACAAATCAATTACCAATCAATTCAGTCACTACAAATACATGAAATCTTCAAATATTTTGTAACTTTTTCGTATATTCAGAAAGTATATATTAGGTATATTTTTATTAAATGTTACTAAAGACAAGTCCTCTCTTGGCTCCTTACGGAGTTGTTGTGCCAATGTCCATACAAAGATACAAAGAAAAAAGCCTTACCCAAATCATAAATCATCAATCATGTTTACGCAAATGTTGATTTAAACTTCCTCTAACTGTATTTTTATTGAGTTGTATAATGCCTAAAAATAATTTATTACCGTATTAACTGCGTTATACACACAACACATTTTATACCTCATAAATAATTCGATATAATGTAGTAAAATTTAGAAACAAAAGAAAGTTTTCTGTGTGAAAAAAAATTACTATCACTTTACGAATAGTTATTGTTCCTTTGTACTGAGTATAAAATGTTTAAGCAACTTGCAACAACTATTTCACTGATTTTCATGCAAAAAGTATTAATACCAATCAAATTACTGCACATATCTAGATCAGTCTTTGCATTTCGTGAGATTCTATAGTTTAGACTTGTTATGCTTGGCATATTCCATAGCTTCTTGCAGCACATTAAGAACAGTGTCAACATTAGAGAAATTTGCGTTATATCCCATCAATCCAATTCTCATAACTAGCCCAGCGGACGGACCGAGTCCTCCAGAAATTTCCACATTGTATCTGAAACAAACCAAGGAAATAATCAGTATAACATTTCCTACGCGCCCTTACGCTGTTGGTTCAGGAAAGTGATACTCGAAAGGGCGCGGTTCAGGAAAAATTCCGGAAGGTTTTTTCCTGTCGGTGTGTGATTTTGGGGGTGTTGAGTTCGAATTTGAGGTTTGCCACTTCGAAAAATTTCATCTTGACCAAACTCAGTCAACTATATCATGCTTGAACACTACTATTGTGCATAAATTATTAGTATTGATAAATGATTATATTTAATGTTTAGCAACAAGTTCATTACACCAATTAATAACGTAAAAAGTGCAATAACACTCAAAATTTAATTTTAGGTATGAAATAAAAATATAGAATCTGATAAGTTCATAAGCACTTCGTAAAGTTAACTTTAGGGTAACTACAGTGGAAGAAATTGGTATAAATGCACACGTTTCGCAAGAAAACAACAAAATGTTATTGTACATATATATATATATATATATATATATATATATATATATATATATTATAAATAACACAATTGACGTCTGTTAACATAAGTGATTATTTGCTAAATACAAATTTGAAAATTAAATTATAATTTCTTTTGAAATATAGCGAAATATATATTCCAGTGAGGCATGGAAAGTGTAATAAAGACACCTTCCTTTTCTGCAGCACCCATACCAAAATGTTCACTAAACAATTCTGATATAGTAAAACCTGTCTAAGGCAGAACCCGGATAAGGCGGATATCTGCCTTCGTCAGAAAAAAAAAACAATTTCAGAACGGACTATTTTTCCATGCAAAGTACACTGGATAAGTCGCAAACCTGTCTAAAGGGAAAACGGAAAGGGAATCTTAGTCCGGTGGTAATAAAGATTGTGGATAAGACGGAAAATAAACCCAGTCATGAATTGTCGTCCATTGCGATATACATGCTTTGGGAAAGGTCTCCAAAGATTGTCGATTGGGTTGAGTTCATGAGATCTAGCTAATTCGGAGCAGGTATCCCTTCTGCTGAAACCACGTGAAATTTATCGTGATTAGGTGGACGTGTAAATGGGCGTATTATCTCGTTTCAATACTACATCATAATCATATTCTTCGAACAGCCAGATCAGCTCCAATACAATCACAGTAGTTGTGTACAACTTTGAATCATACTGGCCTTCAGCTAGGCAATGTTTGGCGTACCGTTAACACAGAATGCTTGTGCAGATCACAACACTTGCGCCCCTAAGATTTCTACTCAACTGTACTTGCTTTTCTTTACGGTGTTCATGTCAGTGAAATACAAAACCATCGGGATCGTGCAAATTAGACTTCTTTTCATTTCCGAAAATCATTCGGTTCCACACGTATGTCCTCTAACCATTTCTTTATATTTCTAGCATCCCTAAAGGCAAGGTCACGAGGTGGGCAGCAACTCCGCTGTCGGTCGCTGCCAATCTCAACGTCCACACGAATACGGGGACTACTGTCCTTCAGTAAGCTCTCGAAAATTTTTATGTTCTCCCCTGTTTATTTCTTTATGACCTATTGACTTGCTATCTTAAATCGTTTTTTCAGGAAAGTTGGTAATGGAGGCTGCCTTCTCGAAAACAATACAATCACAAATCAGGTGTTTCATTTTTTTAAATTAATGTAACCTCATAATATATTTGACGAAACTAAAAGAACAGTGCAATACTCTGGTGTACAAAACTCTGTAAAACCCACCAAAACAACAAAAATACAGCACAATTATAACATAGATTACTCGATAGAAAAACAAAACTTATATGAACAATCTGCATTTGATTAAACTTTTAGCTTTACGAGATGTATATTTATACAAGTCTTTCATACTCGTTCATTGAGTTTTTCTTCTTTTTTTACAGTTCCTTAAAGAGAATTATCCAGTTCTAGTAGTTCATATACGTAAGGTTAATTGTACATAACACTTTCTCAACAACTGTAATAATACCTGTAATGTCCAATTCTGGTGTAAAAGATTTAATGAGAAATGTATTGGTTTGAAACATTTGAACATTAAAACCATTCCAAGTTAATTTAATGGCAGTTAAATGGTTTCTTTATTCCGGTTCTCCCCAACCTTGCCAGGGTCTAGGCAGTGGCTTGTCCTTCACGGCCCCTCCTCCTCAGTTTTGCTCCGACAGGGTGGCGACCGGCCCTTTTTATTCGATACTTCAGCTTATGACGCACGGCTTGTCTAGTTCCTATTATACATGAATCACGACAAACCAAACTGCTGCATAGTGAGTGCACATGGAGAATTTTCTACAATAGCGAGTCCTCTCTTATACCGATGTTATTTATACATCGACAACTGATTGGTCGGTGAATAAATAATGTAATCAGTATACTTAAGTATTGCACAAACATATTTGAGAAGATATTATATTGTTTCAGTGTCTCATTTGTTATCCAATATTTGCGTCTCACTGATGCCACTTTTCCGCAACATGACCTTTTTTTAAAGATCTTATTTTTAGAACCGATTTTGTTTAAGACAAAAATATGTATCTTCAATACTGCAGTTTTGGAATGTTAAATTTTTGCAATTTTCGAAAATATAGTGTAACAGTACTGCGCGGGTGGCCTGTAATAGGCCGTCGGGAACGTCTTGGTGAGGGTGGACGGTCGTAAAGAATCTCCCTGCATTTGTGACGCTTTTCCCAGGGGGGGGACTGGTATACGCCACGGTGCTATGACGGGGCGCGTTGCGCGTCGCATTGCGCGTGTAGCCAAATGGAATTTACAGAGAAACAAGCAGAAATCTCGAAAACGTTTAACCGGGGTCACGTGGACGCCCTGGGGAGGGTCGGACCGCGGTCTCTTAAATAAGCGGAACACGGGATCACAGGGACTATTTGGCTGTTTTGCTTCTGCTTGCCTCGTTTGCCTTGTGCCTTATGCTTTTGGTCAATTATGGAGATTTTGGTCTTCGACTAGTCTTGGCGTTGCCATCAGACCATCCTGGGCATCTGCCATGAAGTCCAACTTTATTCTGTGCGTCGCCGAGTAGTCGAGGGGCCGCTAGAGAAGCGGCTCTCGGCCGACGTTACTGCAAACGAGGCGATGATTCGACATCGGTCGGGATCGCGGGCGAGCGGCGGAATCACACGGTCGCCGCCCGTAGAAGGCCGCCGCTGGAGCCCGAGACTACGGCCGCTAATGGCTGGGCCTAAATGCGACGAGTGCTGCACCGACAAGAGCGTCATTGCCGCAACATCTTGAAGATCGGTGAGAAGGGGAACGCATGGACTTATTAATACCCGAATTCAAACTGCAGGGCGTGGCCGCGACCCGTAAACCTTAGCCGAGGCCATCGCAATTCCGCTAGAGAAAGAATCAGCTCTCTGCTGTCAGCGTAATACACGAGACACGAGGCACTTTAGAAAAGGCGCGGCTCGGCTCTCGCTACCACCAGCACGCCCACCACTCGAAATTCCGGTGGTACCGAGGGCCCCTTGTCGGGGACACGTCAGAGTTCACCTGCAGCCTGACCTGTTCGGGGCACGGCACGAAGTGAAAAAGCCGAAAGGAGGTATGCGTGGGACTGTGCCGATCAACCATCGCCGCTTCACGTTGATGTGGCCTGGAGGCATCTGAAAGAACGACGGGACTGGGCGTTTTAACTTGCGGCGTGAAAGAACCAGAGGGCGCGGCAACGGTGGGCGTATTGCCCCGCCCCATGTCAGTGACACACTCCGCCGACGCCGCTCTTTGATTGGCGTGCCCGGCCTCCAGGGGGAACGACTTTCTGGAATTTACGGAGATACGGTAAATTCTGCCATATCAGCTGTTCATCAAGAAGGAGTGTGTTAGGCTTAAGAGCAATCATTTTTCACCTAAATTCTGTGACAAAAAAAGTTGAAGAACGGAAAGAGACAGGTTTACGTATTAAAGGAGTGGTAGTTTATAAGAAATTGTTGGATTGGTGTGAATGTGTGTAAATGCGCAATTGAAGTTAAATTAACCAATTGTACTTGCTATTTGGCAGCATAAAATGTGCTTCCTACCATAGATATTTATTCGTGCATTTATCGTTTAAAATATTAGTAGTCCATTATAACCCAGAGCTGTGACCCAGCGAGAGCCCAGTCTCAAGCCGCGGTGAAAAGAAAACAAGGAAGTCAGTAAAATCCGTTCGTTATATGAACCACCACGACAGGTTCACGTCCTGGCACCCACATCTTGGAGTAACCGACATCTGTTTGCCTATCTGACACCCGACGTGTATTGCACAACCCACAAAGGTATTAGAAGTAAGAGGCCAGTTGCAGTACATCACACTACCAATTACTCTTGTTTACCGGTCAAACTTTGAAATATTTTACATAAATATCTCCTGTTAAACTAAGTATACAATTTTGGCACCCTCTGTATTGCAGCAACTTCAAATGCTGATGGAACTAGAACAATTCTTACATTTAATGTTATTAAAATAAAATGTCTTTAAACTTACCTCTCCATAGCATAATTTGATACATGCTTCGTATTTATCTCAGGAGGAGAACGTATTGTAGTAACTGTTGGCAATCTGCAATTTTCATTTTCTACATAAAGCTTTAGCCCGATTTTATTGATGCCTTCGTATAAGCGATTTGCACAATCTTTATGTCTTTTCCAGGAATTTGGCAGTCCTTCCTCTACGAGTTCAGCCAATCCTTCTCTTAGCCCATACAATAATGAGCATGATATCGTATGATGATACCTGTAACAATATATTGTATTATAAAACGATGTAATGATGCGATATAAAACCAATGAAGTGAAATTGCGATATACTGAAGAACGAATGTGAATCCTAAACTTCATATGAGTGTATTAATTACACATTAGATGGAGAGACATGTAGTTGTTTTTCTACGACAAATAATACGATATCTATCATATGTTAAACGTTTTCTTTTAATAGTATTTTGTCAATTGGCATACACAATCAACAAGACGTTGCATACTAAAATGTCATAAGTGACTTTGATTTAGACTGGTTGGGAAGAAGCACCACACGAATTGGGAGAGGATTTCATTTTAATACGGAAATGTTTCCATCAACTAAAACTGGAGACAGTATATTTTCTAAGAATATTAATAATATACAAAAGTTGAACAAAGTAGATGACATTTATTTAATATTACATTTTTACATTTTCTCAAAATGTAGAAATTCTGTATAGTAAAATTACCGAATTGTACTATTCAAGTCTTTGAAATTTTTGAACTAGTTTATCATCATAGTCATTATCACTTGGGTCAGCTGAAAATACGTAATAAAATCTACCCCAGGTTGCCTAAAGAGCAGACTAGTGACTGTCGGTGCCTCTCTAATACTTTGCACAAAATGTGGGCGGTTCCAAATAAAGCAATTTCTTGCACTTCCCAGTGTTTTCAGAGACATGGTAGTTTAGCCAAGTTCTTGCACGAATTTTGCAGAGCAAATCCCAGAGTTCCGATGACTATCGGTACGACCTGTGCTTTTATGCCCCACATTCGGCTGATCTCGATTTCCAAACTCTTGTATTTAAGATGTTTCTCTGCCCCATTGGTTACGACGTATAATTTATATTATTATTATTATTATTATTATTATTATTATTATTATTATTATTATTATTATTATTATTATTATTATTATTTTCGAACGTAACAAAGACCGGTTTTGGTTTGTAGAATTATAATATTGCGATGATTGAGCCTCGAACTATGGTGGGTATATGAGCCCCAAACTCTAAGGGACTCATATTACATACACTAAAAATTGTGTTCGTACTATTTTGGTTTTGGTTACTTGCCACAAAAGGTTCTATACCCAAAACAAAAAGGAAAAACTAGGATACTGAATACATGGTTAAGGTAATGCAGTTAAGAGCCAGAAAATGGATTTGAGGAAGGCTTCCATAACTATTCTCGTACCAAGACTTACTCTTCAAAGGCTTGTTCGTGTTGACAAACCTTTGGAAGAAGCAGCTTTTACTAAATTCGGAAGAAAACCTATGTTGAGCGGGAAAAAGAGCCGAGTATTTGCTTGTCAAGGAAAGAAAATTCTACGGTCTCATCAGAAAAGATTTCCATAGGGTAACGTACCAATTTTGTGAAACAAATGGAATTAAACACATATTCACAGAAAATGCTTTAGCCAGTGGGGAAGGCTTCGATCATTTTATGATTCGCCACAGGCACGTTTTAGCTTCATGGACACTCCTTATCACATCATATCCTTCCAAAGAGGCTCTTATGGTAGCCGGAGAAAAACATATGCCTGGATGAAAGACCATAAAAATAGGAAGGCGGAAATCACAAAACAGAGTGGTAAGAAAATTAAAACCGCACATGAGCAAGGTTTCAAACGGAAACATCTTGAAGATGAGGAATCAGAAGAATAAAACTACTCTACCAATTCAGGAGTCTCAGTTTTGGAATAAGTAGTAGGGGTTGAAAGTTCCTGTGATGGCCAAACGTCTGGTTGGTTTCAGTGTGGACTATTTTCAGCCGACCACCGTGGAGAACGGTGGGTCCAAGGAATTGTGTGAAATGTGGGTCACCATGACAGTGCTGGGACCGAAAAGGATATTTCCATATTTGACTTTTGTAAAGGATTTTTTTTATTTTCCAAGCTTTGTAAAAAAATAGCTTTTACATATATAAATATAATTAGTTTCTTTATAATCATGTGTTAATTAATATATTAAGGAGGCACATAATACCAGCTCATATTTTTTATATCAAATATGACTTCTTTTGAAGTATATATTTTTTACCCCCTTGCTGAAGAGTTAATAAAGTTCATATTTATTGTAGAGTTCACACAAGCGTTGAAGATTGTTTCCATATTTGTTTAAAAAAAGACATTTAATTAAATTTTTTAAACAACGAAATGAAAGTGGGGGCTCATAATACCGCATATTACTATTATTACTTGAATCGAACTTGCCATATTTTACGTTGCGAGACTCGCGCCATCATGCCCACTCTTCCGTCTGACCACGCTACGCTGCTTTCATCAACTAGCAGAGGAAGAAGGTATTTCTTGGGCAAGAAACAGGCGATTTGAATTTAGCTCAGAGGCGTCATTTAGGCTTTAGGATCTTTTACATGCAAGTAAATCTACAAACGTGGGACAGCCGGCTTTACTTCCCCTACAAAGGAAGGCGTACGAAGGTTTTTTTATAATGCGTAGTCACAAAATAACCAGGATATGTATCGGGGACTTGCCATTTTTAACAAAAGTCCAAGAGATGTACAAACACGATGCCGCGATCCAAATGATCCGATGCCATGGTCACGCTCCAAATACTGGAGGAGAAGTCCATAATACTGGCCGACAGCGTAGTCACTCAATATCAGTTACACTCAGTGGCATTTATAAGAGAGTCGTTTGGAGATTCTTCCCCCACAAAATTTTCGAACTAAATACTTATATTTCTATCTCGCTTGCGTGCCCTGCGTTGCCCAATTATTAATTAATCACAACCATCAATTAATTAGAAAAATTAATGCTTATGTGAATACCCACCCCCTCCCCTGCCCCAACATGGCCCACCGTGACCTACCCTCCCCCTTCCGACCTCACCACGCCACTTCCCACCCGCCCAGCTCCACTGCCCCCTCATCCTTCCCCGCTTCACTTTACCCTACCTCATCTAGAATGTCCTGCAAGCCCCACCCCTCCCAACCATGTTTGCTACAATCATCGTTTCTAAGGGCAGCTGTAGATATGAGCACCGTTGCGTACTCCCGGCAAACTACCAGTATCAATTTTGACCTATGTCTGACCTTTGGCTCAAAGTCTACTTGCACTATTGGAATTTTAAAAAATGGAAAGAAGTTTTAGAGCTTTCATATAATTCAAATTGATAAAAACAAAGAAATAAACATTATTTACATATCCGCCTACTCGCCGTGTCGTTACGTGCCTACCCGCCCGCCCGCCGGTTCCAGAAAAGTGCGATCCAATCCATTTGTATTGAAATCGGTACCCTATGCGTGTCAGACACGTATAGAACGAGACTCCCGGTATTTCCAATGGCCTACCCGTATGGAACGGGTCGAATAGTTTTAATGGGTACCCGTATGACACGATTCTTTCTACCTTTTGGAAAATGCTAGCAAGCTGTGATATTTGTTTTCAAAATTTAGCGTAAACGTTTTTTAAAATATAGTGTATTTTTTAAAACTTATTTTTTATATGGAGAAATAAATTTAATTCCAAAATCATTTTTCGCGATAGTTTAGTTTCTTAATAAAATAATAAGCTCGTAATACGCTCTGCTAGGACTATTCAGAAGTCATCACTTTTCACTTGCTTTTGCAAGAATCAAGTTTCCACTAAATAAAAACTTTATATCAAGAGAGACGGTAGAGTCTCTGGCCAACTACAAAAAGATTATCCCCAAAGAAGTAGTGTTTGGGGTTTTTGGGTATTGAAAATAGGTTGCAAAATACAAAAAAAAAATATTTATATCAGCATGTTCCCATTATGAAGCAGAATGGATAGCGAATATTCGTCTTAATTAGTTTTACTCATTACCGAGAAACGTGTGTAAAACGAAGGTTCTCTATCTAAAGTAGGGGAACGTGATTTTTTTATTATATTTGTAAATTTACAGGCTTTCTTTCAGACTAAATACTTTTTCACATTGTTTCTATTGTAAATGCTTTGATTAAGGATGATAAAAAATGTAATTAAATAAACTTATGATTTATGATCTACGGTTATGGATTACGATTATGGATTATGGATTACGATTATGGGTAAGAATACAGTTTTCTTATGGTTGACTCTTGTCCTTGTGGCTCTCGTCGGTTCTTACGTACTCTTATAGATTCTTAGGAATTCTCAAAGTTTTTATTGGTTCTTATGAGTTCTTATGTTTTCTGTAAGTCTTGTAGATTTTATGGGTAAAGATTATTAGGAATTTATAGGCAAATTAGTAAGAGTTCTGAGAGGTTTTTAGTTTTCAGGGGTTCTTATAAATTCTTATAAACTCTTATGAATTCTTAAATATGTTTATGGTTTTCTGAATCTTTTATGGTTCCTAGAAATTACGTGTTCTTCGAGGCTCCTTTAATATGCTGACAAGTTCTTATGATTCTACGTGTTTTTAAGGGTTTTATGAAGTGTTATGAGTTTCTGTAGTCCTTATGGGTTCTAATGGATTGTCTGAGATCCTTCGGAATTAATAAGGGCTTTTAGGTATTCTTAAGTGTTTTCAGATGTTCCTTTGAATTTTATGGGGTTTTATAGGTTTTGAAATGTTATGAGTTCTTAGGAATTTTTAAATCTTCTTAAAGCTTTTTATATGTTTTTGTGGGTGTTCTGACGAGTTTTATAGGTCTTTAGAAGTTTTCATTAATTCTTCGTTTTGATGGTTCTTAAGTATTCTTAGGAGTTCTTAGTCGTACTTACGTTTTCTTTGGCGTTTATGATTTCTAATAATTCTTAAGGTTCTTAGGGAATCTGATGACTTCTTATGTTTTTATGGTGTTTTAGGGTTTCTTATGAGTTTGAATTGATTATTCAAAATTCTTTCGGGGATTTTACGGGTTCTCGTGCGTTTATATGGGTTTTATGTTTCTTATTAGAGAGTTAAGCTTTGACAGTATTTTAGCTTCTTGTAAGCTCTTATGGCTCTTTTGGTCTATTGTGACCCTTATCAACATTTTTGTTGATCTTTTATGAGCTTTTGGGTCTTTATGTGTGTTTAAGTGTTATTCATTCTTATGGATACTTTTGTGGTAGGGATACTCTTACGGTCTAGCTTTCTTTTACGAGTGTTGAAACGGTCACGAATGAGGATGGATAGCGTGTGCTGTTATGGTTATGGATACGGAAAAGGTAACTGGTAACTGAAACCGTTGGGATTCGGTTACGGTTATGGGTACTGTTACAGACACTGTTACTGATACTGTTATGGATGTGTACTAATAACTACATGTGATTACTGCTAATGGATTCTTACATACTGGTAATGGATTCGGTTGGGAAGTAAACTGGATATGCTTACTAGCAATGTAAATGGTAAATGATAACTGATACTGTTAAGAATTCGTACACGATTAAATCAGATATTTCAACGAAAATGAGACCTGCAGCATTGTGTTAAGCGTTCTTTATTATATCCGAAGACGTTTAATAAAAAAATTTGGAGCCGTTTCTGAAAAAAGTTTGAAAATGTTTTGAGGCTTCTTGTAAACTACCCTCGAAAACCCGTTTCAAACTCGGAGGGACCCGAGTACATTTAAATCTATCGAAGAGAGAAATTTCGGAGCAAATGTGATGAATCGTTTAGGTGCTAGCGTAGACCACACAAGGACAGACAATTTCGCCGTCAGTCGATGTTTCGGTATAAAGGACCCACAACGTTTGTACGTACGTACGGAAGGTTTCTGACAACATCACGTGTTAGAGTAAGTAATTTACTATATGTAAGAACAGATTTTATCCATATTTCTTCATATTATTATCCATATTGAGGACCCGGAAATAAGTTTTTCTGTGGAAAATTCCCCATTTTCCGGCGCGTGATTACAATACTCTCTCATCTTTCACAATAAGGTGGCAAAGGAAAATGAGGGATATTTTGTCGTTGAGTAAAGATCTTTTGAGAATCCATTGACAGTATTCAAAATTTACTTCGAAGAATATAGCAATCAGTAAGAAATACATACTTACAGTCTGGTAAGTAACAGTAGACATCTGATTGCTCAAAAATAAATTATTACTAAATAAATCGTGTGGGAGTGTGTTTATACTTACATTCTTGCCTCATCAAAACAACCCCAGTAATTTCCTAATTTGGTGATATCCCAGTAGAACACAGAAATGGGTGATTTTCGAGCATATACTTTATTACTGTAACAAAAACAAATTAATCAAATTGATGCTACACATGCCTTACAGTACTTATAGGTGCCTTGGTACTTACAGAGCTTGAGAACTGAATGAAATTGGAGCTAATCCTGGAGGCGCTCCAAGTACCTTCTGGGAACCACTGTACACCACATCAATTTTCCAGAGATCGGTAAAAACAGGAACAGCACCCAAAGACGCAACTGTGTCAACAACAAATAAACAATTGTTCCTGAAACGAAAAGGAATAAATGAAAACAATGAACTAAGATCCTAAGACTAATGTAACGATAATGAAACAAAGAATGTAGGTAGCCAAAAAGCTCACGCTAAAAAATAAACAAAAAATGAAAATCAATAACAAAGATGGAGTATAAATAAATTTACAATGAAATAATAATAATAATAATAATAATAATAATAATAATAATAATAATAATAATAATAATAATAAGTCGTCTGCCAAAGTCCAGTCCTACGTCCGAGCAATTTTGAACTTAGCCTCGAGGGAGACGGGCAACGTCAGAAAATCTGGCGGCAAACAGAGCGGTAACACACCCATTTAGATGTACAGACACGGACTATGCGTCGTAAGGTCTCGGAAAAGAAGCCGCTGCCTGCGGAGCGCCAGGGCACCTTCGGAGCCACCGCTGGAGGTGAAAGCATGCGAGCCGGTGGTAATCAGGAGCTGAACAGGCGGGCCCTGATTGGGGATAACTCCGTATATACTACAGCCGAACATAGCAGCACCCGTCCATTTCAACTTACATCTGCACCTGCCGCAAGTGCTTCCCAGAGAAGCGATCTATTTCTTCCGGAGACCACTGTGGCAGGTGGCCAAGCTCGAAGAAATTGACAAGAGCTATGAGCGTCTTCAATGATAAAGTACTTCCAAAGATTCTACAACAAAGACCATCATTAGAAGAAGTGCACACATCAATTAATTATTCAGCGGTCGCGGCTTCAAGATGTGACGGTTCCAAACTTTTCAGCCGCGTAGCAACTGCCTACAATGATCGAAGTGAAAAAGAAAGCCACTGTGGGAAAGACGGCTGGTGAATCATATAGAACGCAGTAGAAAATATATTGAAAGACTCGCACAATTTCAAACAGGAAATACCTCAGTAAAACGGAGAAGAAAGATGAATAACATCCTTATCAATACAAAATTACATACAAAGCACGAGCCCTTGAATTCAACAATATCAGACCTTGACACCCTACGACAAAAGGTTTTGTCGTTAACAAAACGCCTTCGACGCTATAGGAATTGCACTTTGAGGAAGCCACAGAATACTCTTTTTAACAGGGACCAGAAAGCATTGTACAGGAATCTTCAAAGGGCAAGGAACTTGTAAGTGATATGAAAGAAACAAAGCTTCCCTCACAGGCACAGATAGAGGACGTTTGGAATCCTATCTGGTCATCTGCAGTGTCTCACAATCCAGATATGACGTGTATTGTAACGGAATATGAATGAGTCTGAGATACCCCTGTAATGGACGAACCGTGGAAGTTGTCCAAGCAGCTTTGAACAAAGCGCATAACTGGAAGGCACCGGGAGTGATGACCTGCACAACTATTAGCTCAAAAAATTTACTAGCACTCACCATCATATAGCTACTATAATTCGATATTTTCTTTACAATCCAGAATATCTACCTTAGTTCCTCACTGAAGGTAGAATGTTCTTGTTTCCAAAGGAGGTTTGACACTAAATACCTCTCGAAGTACAGGCCTATAACCTGCCTTCAAACGTTCTACACATTCATAACACGTGTTACACAATTGATGATGACACACACTGAGGAACAGAACATCTTAGCGGATGAAGAAGGATGTAGATGGATTTCAGGGATGAAAGGAGCAACTCATTATAGACTTAAATTATGGGGCAAGTGCTTGAAAAACAAAGAAACTTGTCCGCATGCTATATAGAATGCTAAGATATATAGAATATAGAATAAGATAAGAATATAGAATGCTATTATGCTAAAGCATTCGACACCATGCCCCATTTTTGCTCCTTCAATGTTTGGATGTGTACAAAGTCCCCCCGTTTGTCCAAAACTTCCTGAAAACGGTGATGAATGTGATGGAATACAAAACTGTATCTCTCTAATGGAACACAATCCGTCCACACAGATACTATACACATCCGCCGAGGGATTTTCCAGGGTGACTCTTTAAGCACTTTATTGTTCTGCTTAGCCTTGAATCCCCTGTCTACTCTACTTAATTCATATAATTATGGAATCGCTTTGAAAAAAGGGAACTTAACCCTTCTTCGTGTCTCACATCTTTACATGAATGACCTGAAGCTCTATGCATACACTGAGAGTCATATGCGGCAACTAATAAGCGTGACGGAGAAATTAACTGACGACAAAGATGAATGTCGGTTTGGATACGTGCAGGAGAGTGAATATCATTCGAGGTCATATCCAAGTTATACATTTGGAGAATGATAATGAACCAAAGATTACCTTCATGGAACCAATGAAGCTTACAAATCCTTAGGTTTCCATTCCAGTCAGCCCGAATCAACCACACTGCCACTAAGAATCTACAACAACTGAAGTGTAATCGATTGCATGGACTCTTAAAAACTCAACTTTCTGCTAGAAACCTTGTGCAAGCCATCAATTCATTTGTTAATCCAGTACTGATATACTCCTTTGCCATTATTAAATGAATCAATACCGGCCTCGACAACCTCCAGTAGTTTCTAAAGGGTGCGCAAACATCCTCAAATGGTGAACAAACGAATGCAAATGAATTTTTTTGAAATTCCAATGTACTTTTTTTGTTTCCTTGTATTTTGACAAAATTTGAAGATACCGGATAAATGTATTTTCCCAATAATTTTTGTGCCGTAACTGGTAAATATTTTTTAAAGAGTGGACAATTGTCCACACACGATGGAAAAATAATTGGTAATGAAAATGTCAACGTGTTTCGTGTAATTTTGGCGATTTAAAAAATTTAAGAATAAAAGTTTTTTGCCAATCCTTTTCGAACCGTAGCTAGTAAATATTTTCTAAATGGTGGGCAAAAGCTCGCCAACGATGGGCAAACGAATTCACATTAAATATTTCGAAATTCCAATGTATTTTTTTGGTATTTTTGCGAAATTAAAATATGGCAGGATAAGTTTTTTTGCAAATAATTATTGAACAGTAGCTTGTAAATATTTTTTAAAGGATGGGCAAACGGATTCACACAATGGACAAATGAATGCAAAATAAAAGTTTCGTACTTTCAATGTGTTTCAATGTGAAATGTAATTGGCCTTTTTTAAAGGCCGAATTTTGTACAACATTCTGCCTGAGACAAAAACCTCTAACTTCAATTTTGTAGTTTTTTTAAAAAAAAAGACTTTTGAAAAATCGGGGAAGTCAGCAAAAAATGAGAATTCTCTTCAACGTCATTCACACTATTCAACAACAGCGTTTAATTTTAAAAAAAGGAGTCGTTTTTCAGAAGATTTTGGAAATGTGTTTGAGAAATGTGAAGTACCCTCAGAAATCAATATATCTGTTCTAATCTCTCAAGAGTAAACAAAGCATAAATGAAGCCACTTCCCTGATCATGTTGTTCTAAACTGATGTTTCATTTATTGATAGAAGCATCTATTATTATTTGTTGCCAGAAGTAAATAAACGCCTGTATAAAAAATCTTCCCCCTAGAGACAGATCAAAATATTGCACTTGGATCAAAATATCGGAGTATATATTAATAATAATTTAGCTGGAGTTAAATTTTCTATTTATATTCTTCACTAGTTAATTGATTGTCTGTTAGTAAAATTCAATGCTATCTTAAGTTTTAAGAGAATCACTTGAATTATTTAAAAAAATTAACATTAAATAGTATTTTATGTAATTTTATAGAAATAACTTATTGTGTATTTCAAGTACAACTTTTCACGAACTAAATGTAAATATTATCTGGTAGTTTCTGTAAATACGACAAAAAATATGTTTTTACAATAACTATAAAATCTATTATTGATAAAATTATAAGTAACATATGCATATACAAAACAATAATGGAGATAGGATCACCTTATCATGTTTTAAATTTTTTAAAATATTTTATTGAAAATACTATTATATGAAGTAGTAAATAAAGATCTTCTGGTAGCCATGGTTGAAAATTCACATCTTTGAAATTATGTGTTCCATATTTTAAAAATTTAAAGGAATCTACAGATCTGCAAACTTGGAGATTGATGCATCAGGCCAACTACCTGCTCATCAATAAAAACATGACTGAAGCTAATGTACCCAAAAATCTAATAGAAAAGCGAATTAATAGATGTTGACTTCAGAAGAGAACTTTAAAGGTTGGTACACGGAATGTAAAGAGTTTAAGTAATAAATTAATACATATAATTATTGGAATAAAAAAAATTATATCAAAACATAATTTCCTTAACAGAACCAAAAAAGGTAATGTGGAAATCCAAGAACAATACATTCATCTTTATAGTGGAGGGTTAAAGAATAAACATGGGAACAAGGCATTCAGTACTAACTAACAAAAAATTAAAAAAGTACATAACAAATTTGGAAGAACAAATAGAAATGTAATTATTGTAAAATGGATACATTTGGAATTAAAATAACTATAATTAGTGTTAATGGAATAACTAAGAATAAAATTCTATAATAAAGGATTAATTTTAAGAAGAATTAAATTATACATTAAATAAAATGGGTAATTTAAGATATATCATAATGTTGGGGGCCTCAAAGTAGGCTATTTAAGCATTTTTTTTGCCCCATTTTCAAGGACGCCAATGTCTCAAGATGGGTTCATTTGTTCATTCAAGATGGGTTTACTACTCAAACAGGATTCATTAATGATTAGGAGAACTAATTGATTGCTGTAATACTTGTGACTAATTTGTAATAGGTGATACGATTCTAAATGTCTTGGACAAAAGTATATTTAGCATAAAAGAGTTCAAAGGAATGATCTATGTAGATGGCACTGATTAAACACCAGTACCAAAAGACATTTTTTACTTAAAACGCTATAATTGTCTTTTACGACATTGGCAACATTGACGTTAACATCTTTAAGTGAACAATTGAATTACCAAGTATTTCGCGCTGCAGTTGGATTTCAATTTAGATTCAAATTATTGTACTTTTAAAAATAAATTTGCGAAAACCTAAAAACAGAATTGCCTCTGAACTTAATAAACTTGAAAAATTTCAAATAAATATGGACAAAACAGAACTCTGAGTAATGCTAGAGGATGATTGAACGTTTTTATGTTCGACTTCGCACTTTTACGTTTTTAGTTGTGTGCAAATACCGATTTTCAAATGAACGTGTTCCACAACTTATTCGTATTAAATTTAACTAACCTCTTATTCACATAAACATGCCTTTTAATGTTAGATTCGCATACAAAACGATTAATGAGACATGTGAAGGCCAGACATGTGAGGACGGGACTTGTTACAGGAGCGGACATGGTATAACATTCAGGGCCGCAGGCTGCCCACATCGCCCATAATCGAGGCTAGGGCCGCTCATCTCGGCATTTCTTAGGGCTGAGGCCGCCCACATATGAATTGGACCACGACAGCGTGCACTGCCTGGTCGCCGTGTCCGGGGAGTCTGCTGCGTTCGCTCAAAGGCGCACTGTGCGTGCTCAGCGACCTCCGCGCAGCGAGTGCCATGCCCCGGCGACAATTGGGGCGAGCTCAACGCCTTCAATAGCAGGTACCTGTTTCTGTCTCCCAAGTGCCGAGCCAAGCTGCTCAAGCTCATATTAAGCAATAGAACATTAATCGGCATTAATCAGCATTAGTCGGATTGAACTATTCCTCTTCATCGTTAAGGATCATTCATTGGATTATGGATCTGTAAGTCACTTTGTGTCAATTAATTTATGAATTTTTATTTGTAAAACACTGATTAAGTTTTACATTTAGTAGATTTAGTAGTAGATGTCGTAATGTATGATATCTTTATTGATATATTTCTTGTAGGCGATCGAATGGCATGCACTACGACGCAATGCGACTGCCCCCGCCCCCTGTGCCTTCTGCGCCAATACTCTCAACCCTTAGGTTAAACTCGCCTGTCTTAAGGAACGTTCATGCTAGAGATCATGATTGGGGGAAATCTAGCCTATCAAAATCTCGGTCGTTGGCAGTTGGGTGAGAATGTTCTTTTGTAATAGTTAATCCAGATGGCATTATCCTCCGTACACTGCTACCAGAATGTGCAGAAAGACTGGGACTCCAGAATTTGGCCGTTACCCATTTTACATGTCGGCCAGGGTACTTCATGTTTTTATGCATACAATACGGGGTATATGAGTGAAGTGTGTGTTCATTATAATCCAGATGAATGGCAATTGTTTACAGTTTCTTCAAAATATAGATTCAATGTACTGAAACAATTCTACGGATGAGTGACGCAAAGTGGTAGGAAGAAATTTTCATCAGCCCGAAAAATGATAAATCTCATGTTGCGTATATTTGAAGAAAATTTGTGAGACATTGAGTTAGAAGCTTGGCAATCCTAAAGAGAGTTGTGCATGCACTTCTCGGGACAAAGGAAGGTCACAGAGTGATTAGAAAGCTACAGAAATATGTGTAGAATGTCTCTGAAATTTCATTTGATTAACTTTCATCTTATTTTTTCCTACACAATTTGGGTGATGAACAAGGTGAACAGTTTCATCAAGATATTGCTACAATGGAGAAGAGCGTAAGGATCATGTAATGATGGGAGATTATTGCTGGTTTCTTGTCAGAGAGAGTAAAGGAATACAAGAGTAAGTGACTAGGCGCAAAGCATTCTAAAGTAATGCAATAGGAATTTCTCCTTCCAATATTATTGCACTTGATTATTCATGCGTATTATATTTTTAATTTGCTCTTAATTTTGTAGTAATATAACTGGAGTAACAATGCGGAAATTAGTACAGAATTTGGCTTATTTCAAACACTAATATGCTGTTATCGTTTGAACTCTACGTGATAGAAACCTTTTTGTAATGATTTTTGAAATCAGCGTCATCGTTTCCTTTAAAAACCACCTACTTTCATCCTGTAGGTATGATTTTTTGTTCCCTAGTGAAATTTAGCAATCTCTCAATGTGCAATTTGATTACGGGTGCTGCTGCAGGATTTGGCATTTAAGTGGAAGACCTAGCAAAACACCTCAATCCTTCTCCTGGGACTGTTTGAGCATACCTGTGTAGGACCCATCTTATTATTAGCATTCGATATTGCCATCACTAATATTGATATTCTTATTATTGTTATTGTTACCATAATAGGTTCTTATATTTTTGCAATATCGGCATTATTAAGTAGTAATATAATAACCAGGAATTCAATATAATTAGAATAACTAGCTGTTGGAATACAATAAGTTATCGTCGATCTGCATGTTTAAAAAATCCGTGTGGATAAGGTTATTTTGATCATTTCTATTAAAGAAATGTTGAGTCATATGCGGCCGGGATATGGAATACCATAATTGGTCATTACATTAATATTTTCAATATACCTTCTGCAGATTTCTCCAAAACCATCCAGTGCTTGATATACTCCAGTAGATGATTCCCCTTGTGTCAAGAAGAAGAGAATGGGTTTATATTTTATTATAGATTTTTCCAATTCATCAACAGTAAATGTTTTTCCTGGGGATTTTTTTAAGATTTCTACTTTGGCACCTGTTGAACGAGAAAAACATTTTTACATAAACACAAGTTCATTAAATCTGCAAAAAGAAATACAAATACATTCAAATACGAATCAGTTCACGTCAAATCGCACATTCAAAAACATCACTGTTTTTTAGCGACTTGAAATTCATTTATGAGTTTTGGGGTTGAAAATAAGTGAGATATAGATTTTTCTTTTTTTTAATCACACCCCTTTCAGAAATATTACCAATTACTTTTTCCTAAGAATCGTGCGCTTACTAATGCTCAATCATGCGCAAATACCGTTTTCTTCAGATAAATAGAATTACACGTAAATTTAACTTAAAAATATAGATTGATGATAGATAGATACATGATAGATAGATGATAAATACATGATAGATGATAGATACATGATAGATGATAGATTAACTATTTACAAAATTAGTTTTCTACTTTTTGTATTTTATAATTTTTCTTTTAAATTCTTTAATTTGATCACAATTTTTAATTTATAACGGTAATTTATTATATAATTCAAATATAAATCCTTTGTCAAATAAACTGTTTTTTTGTCTGCACAGTTTTACTGAAATTAATTACTAAATGTTGAGTTTGTCTTGTTTCCCTTGTTGTTTTATCTTTTACTCTTTGGATTTTGTTTACCAAATCTCATGTTATATGATTTTTTATTAATTTAAAAATAAAAATTATTGTCTTATGATGAATTATCTCTTTTATTGACATAAATTTCAGAGTGGCTAACATATCTAGAACTGGAGTGTATCTATTGCATTCATGGCTTTGTTTTGTTGTATTTGAAGTTTTTTAATTTCATTTTTGTGGGCTCCAACTAGTATTGTTGTATAGAAGTCGAAATGTGGGGCAATCATGGATTTATATATCAAACGTACTACGTACCCTATATAAACTTTAAAATTTATTTTACTGTCGATAATTACTCTCAAATACTTCATTTTGTGTACCCGTTGTATTTTCTTTAAGTCAGTTGTGAATAATTTAGTTTTTTTTTTATTTTGTGGCGTCTATTTATAGACGCAACGCGTCTCCTAACTCTTTAAGGAGCTTTGAGCGCGCCGTGGAGTCATCTTCCTTCGTTATTGAACACCCAGCACCTTCTAGGGGCCGAATGCTCGCGCTCGCGTGCACACACGCCCAGCGTCATCTACGAGTACCCATCGGCCAGAATTCGGAAAGCATAAGAATAATTTAAATGTTTAGGACGCTTCACAGGGGTTGGACTAGCCCCTGTGAAGCACGCAAACTCGTTTTGTTGTAACCAATTTCTCATGAGGGTCTACGGGGATTCTACGAGATTCGAACCCCGCAACCTCAGTGGTAAAAAAAAAGGACAAGCGACATCGCCAATGAGACACGAGAGCATTTCTTTGTATCTGCAATATCATTAATTTGGTCTTTTCAACATTCATTATTAATTTATTTACCCTTAGCCATTTTTGTATTGCAATAAATACACTGTGCAGTTTAAATTCAATTTCCGCTTTCTCCCATTACAAACAATGTCTCATCAGCAAATAATTGAATTTTCCATCATTCCCAAATATGTTTCTCATATACTCGATTAAATCATTAATGTAAATTATAAACAATATTGAACCAAAAACTGACACTTGAACACCTAAATCTACGCTAATTTCTTCTGAGATAATATTATTATATTTTACTTTTTGTTTTCTCTTGTTAAGATATGAAATAAACCACTTTTTAAAGTCACCTTTGATCCCGCATTTGTACACTTTCTCAATTGTCTTTGCCCCGGCAATAGTTTCGAATGCCCTCTTGAGATCAAAAAACATAACTCCTTCTTTCTCTCCTGCATCAATAGTAATCTTCAATTCGTCTAACACTGCTTGTATTGCAGTTTCACATGGTTTTTTTTCTCTGAAGCCTGATTGTTCATTTCCTATACTTTTATTTGTTTCAATATACTCATTTAACTGTTCCTTTACTATTTCTTCTAATATTTTTTCATGCATAGGAAGCTTATTAATTCGTCTAAATTCAGCTGCTCTTTGTATTTGTCACTTTTGGAATTGGTATTAATGAGGAAGTTTCCATGACTGTGGAAAAATCTCTTTTCTAGGGAATTATTAATCATTTTCAATAATACTGCTTCTAATAGTTCATAATTTTCTTTTAACATGTTTGTAGTAATACCCTCGTCTGTTCCTTTTTTGATTGGTAATTCAAAGATAATTCTATTCAATTATTCTCTTTTAATCAATTCAATTTTATAAAACTCGCCGTCACACCATCTTTCATTTAAATATTTTGATTTCCTACGTCTTTATTTTGTACTATTCATTTAATGTTACTTACAAAATAGTTACTGAATTTATTAGCTTTATTTTCTTTACTAATTTCATCAAATATAATGTCTTTCGTCATTATATCACAGTTACCTCGTGTTAAGTTCTTAATTATCTTCCATAATTCTTTACTAATATTTGTGTGTTCTTCGATAGAATTTTTACAATATTCTACTTTCTTTTCTTTATTACTCTATTTCTTATTTTCTAGTACTCCTCCCATTTGTCTGGTTCTCTCGTTACATTAGCTATTTTGTATACTTCATCTCTATCATTCTATTCTGTGTGCACCATCAACCTTTTAAACCCTGCCATCTCATCTAGGGCTTTTACGACGGCTTTTAGAAATTCCTCATTTAACTCTTCTTTATTTTTATGTTTTAACTATCTAATATTAAATCCTAATATTTCTTTAAATTGATCCTCTCTAAAATGTATGTAATCTCGTTATGTATTTTGAACCTTTCCTTTCGATTTGTACCGTTTTATTTGAAATCTGGGTACACCACTATCCAGAGCAGGTACTTTTGGTGCGTCTTGAACATTTATGTTTACTTTTGAGAATGCTAGATCAATGATTGTCTGGCAATTACTATCCACTCTGGTTAGCTCTTTTACCAATTGGGTTAGTCGCAAAGCGTCAACACGTTTTACTAACTTATTTTTGGCACAACGTTCTCAAATAATTTATATTAAAATCCCCCAGAATTATGCAATTATTAATTGTCATTATTTCTTTTATTCTTATTTCTTTTATTTTCAACGTCATACGTTTCCCATCGGTTCTCCATCGCAGTTCACAAGCTCGTATCTAGTATCGAACACTTGATGTTTCTTACTGCAGTTACTATGGAATTATTTCATACATTTCCTACAATAGATTCCCTCTGTGATTATTTCTTTCTTACACCGCCCCGTACAATCGCATATGCGTGTAATTCCCTCCATTCTCCAACGCTCTATTAACCTTCACTTATAATCCGCCTGTAAAGGCCGGTCATCTTTGCACGGTCAGCTCAACAATCCGCCGCCGCCGCATCAGCTCCGTGGGCCGCCCCCGGCACCGTCTTACGGCTTACTTGGACTTCGAAGTGTCGTCACGTCCTCCGGCACAGTCAGCTACTTTGCGCCGCCCGCCACCCGCGTCTCCTACATCCGCTGTGTCCAGCACTGCCTCCACGCACTCGTTTCAGGCACTCAATACTTAACATATGATTGCCATTTTATTGAACTTTCTCCGATTTCTACAAAACTGGAACATCCTACTTTTCACCACTTACTGTCCTCCCACTTCTTTTTCTCTACAGGTAGTTTCACTCGTTTTCCAATACGTATACCTCACTTTTCAGTCCTCTTTTACGGAGCGACACCCGTCTACTCCACTGCAACTCATGTAAAAGATGTACCCTCCATAGAACAAATCATGGGCGATGCCCTATGCACCCAAATCTGGCTTTTCCACAACCACGGCTGGACGTTTGACCAATCCTGTAGTCTAAACCAACAGGCTCTTGTCATTGGTTTTGGCTCCAAGTTTTAGACACTTCCTCCTCCCTCGCCCCGCCCCCTCGTTTGCCATGCCAAAGTGCAAGTAAGTTAACTTTAGGGCTAGAATGTAAGACTTGGCTGTAAGAAAAAGCCCCTCCTCTAGCTGCTTAAGCCGCAAGGCAGCATTTCAATGTAAAAATTTAAAGTAAATAAATTCCCCCTCTCCACAGGGATACTGTGGACGGGACAAAAGAATAGAGGATTAATTGTTACCCAGCATCTCCTCTAGAGTATCGGCAAGGTGAGGCCTTCTCGGAGTATCTCTTGAATAATTCCAGTGCACAAGAACATGCTATACTGCAAGGTCTGTTCTTCATTTGTCGCACTTAGGGGGTGGGTCACTGCGCGAGTTCTTGAGTGGCAGTGCCCGATCCGAAGGCGAGTGAGAATTACCTCCTCGCGCCTTGAGCCACGAGATGACGAAGACCAGGATTGTACGGAGTTCTTGAACCTCGTGGGTTTGAAATAAAGAGTTCTGTCACTTTATTTACCATCTACACAGAATGTAACGTTAGATAAAAAGCTTGGTCCAAGCGCAAGTACTACCATAGATATGTCTCTGGCTTCCTAATAGACAAATTTGCAATCTGGTCAACTGTGTTTTTCTCAATTGTTCCTACGAGACCAGGGACACAGAAATACAAATTAAAATGATAGAGAATTAAACGATGTCTTCGATGTATATGATACGTACGAACCCTAGGTAGGTATAATGTAGGTATGTAGGTATAATGTAGTTGTGGGAGGATGTCGAGAACATTTGCAATGTGTTCAATGTTCTAATCCCGAATGTTTTATGTAAAATTGGGCAAATTCACTCGAAACACGAAAATTCAAGGAAGGTCATCTTAAAGGAAATGCAGAGAATCTATCAGCATATAAAAGAATCAGTCATATCAATAACAAAGCTGCTACCTAGTAATAGCAACAATTTTGTTAATTTGTTGTGTTCTTTCGAATGTGCCTCGTCCCTCTGAAAACAAACACTATAATCCACTTTGCCCAAATTTTCATTTAAGACTTTGTACTTTCGCAACATCGATGTCCAATTAAACTTCAAAAGGAATTTTCATCGTGCTTAAGAAACTTTACAATATCAAACTGCAGAGTCGTTTCCAAAAGAAATGG